AGTAATGGGAGCCCTGAGCTTGTTTCTCTGCAACGAGACATCTGGGAGTGATGAGAGACAATAACACCCGAGCTGTGTTGCTTGAGCACAGCGTCTCTATGTGGCAATCTTGTTCACCGCATGTTACACAGAGCGGCTTGTAATGTGGGAGTCCATCCTCCTGTCTCTTCTCTGGGCCTTTTCCCCTTTGCAAAGAAACTTTCCAAAGACATCTGATGTGTTTCTTACTCATTTTGCTGCATGTGGGCTTAATGTTGGCGTGCAAGAAACCGAGACTTCCAATGATTCACTTCCTGGTAAAGAGCCCCCTGGTGGTTGAAGAAAAATTCACATATAAACGGCTTATAGTCCGGAAAATACGGTAAATGAAAAAATAAATAAATAAATAAAAATCTGAATGCTTTCTGGTATTGTTCAGGGGACCGGATCCGGCCCGCGGGCCGTAGTTTGGGGACCCTTGACGTAGACTGTTGGACTTGGGAGGGAAAACATTACTGGGTCTTCAGTTTTTCAGTCCCCTTCAGTAACAGCTGATGATGACCTTGGACACTTTGACAGCTACTTTTTGTACAGTCAGAGCTTAGCTAAGAGCATCACGCCTTCATAGAAATGGGATTGCCTATGCTTCGTTGCATGCACATTGTTGGATATTATTGTGAGGATTGGATATATTTGTCTCTTCCTCTGTTCTTAAGTTAATTATGTGTTTGCTTTTTTTATTTATGCCACCCGGAGTGAGGGAGGGTGTTGAATTTTTTAAAATAATAATACAAAAAATACATATGGTCTTAATTAAGCTCTTCTTTAAATTAAAAACGATAATCTGGAAAAAAAAAATAGTCAGAAATGAAACTTTTTGGCATGCGTTCAAATCATCATATGCGGTGGAAACGCACCCTGAACACACCACCTGAAAAATGTAAATGGTGCTGACAGAATCATGTTGTGGGGAAGCTTTAGCAGGAGGAAATACCGAAATAAGAGGCAATCGTGGAAGAAAACCAGATAGGGCTTACAAAACATTGGAAACTGGAGCTAAAACAATACAATGTGTGGTTGTTTACACAGGAACAAAACCTTGTTTTAACTATGAGGCTAGTACTTCTACTCAGATTACTCACATCACTTCCGTTTTTATCAACTTCTGCAGATTTTTGCTGATTTTGTTCTCAAATCTCGTAGATCAGAGACGACAGCTGTCTGGTAGCGAAGCACTGCTTGTTTCGGTCACATTTAGATTGGCTCTCTGTCATCCGCCTGCCGACTCACCACATGTTCATTCACTCTCACAGAGGATGAGGCCATTGGGTCAGGCCTGAGAGACTGCTCCCACATTGAGGAGATGCTGCGACTGGCGACGGCTGAACCATCAGCAGAGTTCTCTGGTAAGGAGCAAAATATCGGCCCGATCATACTGATGAGAAGTCTTTACAAGGTACACGAGTTCCCTAAAATACAACGGAATATTAGGGCCAAAATTACAAGAATAAAGTCATAATGTTGGGGCTAATGCTCCACCATACCTGAAAGCTGATGGGAAAGACACATTGCTTCTATCCATCATCACCACCGGCTACGTCCGTTGGACCTCTGCTGTGGAAACGAAGCTGTGACTTGAACTACAACAGCATCTGAATGTTTACACCTACGTTGTCAATGCAAAAAGGAAACCAGATGTGCTCGCAAGAAAAATAACTGCCTGAGAAAGGTTTTTTTTTTTTTTTTTTTTTTTTTTCTCCCCGGGCTTCAACCATTCTGTTTATTTTTTTAATA